ACAAGTGTGAAAAAGAGGCAGTAAATGTTAGCTGGAATCTACAAGTCACAATCAAAATACAGGATACTGTATGTTTATTTACATTTAAGATCAATATAGATAATGTTCCCAATGCTTAGCAAATGAATGAGACTGTAGCTGAGTAAAATATTAACACAACTTATTAGCACATCCTCATGAAAACACAGAAGGCATAAAATATATACTTTACTGTTACTCGTTTTACTGTTCAATGTACCTGTCATGAAAAAATATACATTTTTTACTTTCAAGGTTAAAATAGACCATCAGCTCATTCTCTCTTTTGGCCCATTGCTACAAAAACTAAAGTGGCTCTTCCCTCCTGTGGCTCACTTGAACGTATTTGGCCTAAAGAAAAACAGAATGGAATGGTAGTGCTAAAGAAAAGGTACACCCAGTTTCCAGGGTGGGTGCAACTGAAGCCCTCACACAAGTTGCCTTAAAACAAAACAAAACAACACAATTCAGTTGATCTAATCATAATATAATGAGTTTATTGTGTCAACTGTTCCATCCCCAGGGCATAGTGGAGCTATGTTTCCTTACTGTAGTCCCCAAATTCCAATTCATCCAATGTCCTCTGGTCTTCAGAGTCATAAACCCACTTTTTCCAATCTCACATAGCCATAAATTTAGCTTAGTGTGAGATAAAACTCACAAAACATGAAAAACGAACACCCCTCAATTGTTAAAAGCAGACCAAGGCTTCTATAACTTGAACAAGTCATCCCAATGGAAACCCTGCAATGTCTTTTAGAAAAGGTTCCTTTAATATTATGTGTGTTAGTCAATGTAGAAAATAATCACAGAAGCTTAAAAGCAACAATATACCTGGAATGTCTTGCTCACATTAACAGACTGATGTTTCAAGGAACATTTGTAAGTCGGCCTCTCAAAGTCTATTTTTGAGGAGGGAAGCAGCTCTTAGAATCTGCTTGTATTGCTTTTAAAGTCTGGCCCTCTATGTCTGCTGTTCTTATAGTTGCTTTTGGGAGGGTCCATAACTAGATGCATTTCTCAACACAAACAAGCAAAGTAGGGTGGCTCATAGAGTAAGTCTCACACTCAAATATCCATTAATGATTTATCTGTTGGCATTGGTGGGCAGCTCCCCTTAGCCTGTGCCAAAACAGAAGGAAGATATGCCAGCTCAGGAATCCAAAAACTCCAATGTCTTCTTTGTTCCACACTAAGTCATGGTACAAAAAAAAAAATCATGATAAGAATACCAATAACTGAAGTGTAAATTCAAGTAATCCTTTGATTACAGTTTTAAAAATGTACACTTAAAACAGAATAAACCAGTTGGAAAGAGAAACCAAAGTTAGTACTGTTCTATTTAACTAAAAACAACTGATATTTCATTTTGTTCACACATTCATAATTTTCAAGCTACAACCTACTGAGTACTACTTGTCAATATGGAAAGACCTGGTTGCTAAGATATTTGAAAATCATTTTTTATATGTTTAGAATCACATTTCCCTTGGTGATATCTAGCCAGGAGGTGTGATTCTAGTTTGTGTTGAACAAATGTTTTTAGCTCTAAGGTGTTATACTGTAATTGAGATTTTCAAACTACTGCTTAGAAGGCATTTGCAAGAGCTTGCCTTAACTGCAAAAAAAAACATCCATTCCAGATTACTTTCTTATTGATCTTCTGAATACACATCTATTATTACCATGAGTGTGAGATCATTTAAGAAATAGACAATATCCTTTAGAAACAGACTACAGAATCAAGTCACATATGAAAAGAAGGATGCTTTAAGATAGCTTAGACATTGGTATAAATCAAAGGAAAACTCATGTTTTTGATTACTTGCCCTATGCTGAAATTGAACATTTGCAACCAAGTAACAAAAGATATACTGAAGAAAACTAACTTACTACATATTGAGTTCATTTCTGGTCTATTTAAAAACAAACTCCCATAAGGAATACAGGAATGGAATCCATTCAAAGCAACAGCTCTCAAAAGTTCTGCCAAAAAAACTCAGAGTAACTTACTGCATCATGAAAGGTGAGGTGTTCAAAAGAACAAATAGTTAATCATATTCTTTCCCTTCATATTTTTTTTGCTTCAATCCATGAGAAACATCAAGAACTAATATCATTAAAACATGTTTTAATATTTTAAGATTAATTAAGTACATAAAATTCAACAAGGTAAATAGAAGAAATCTTCTAATCTGTTTTTAATATTGCTAGAGGATCAAGGAGTTAACTCAGAATCTATAAATTAGGTGGGCATCCCAACTCTGCCACTAATTCTGTGGATCCTTGGGCTAGGAACTGTGGTTTCTCAGGGTCTTGAATTACATAAGCAAACAGCAAGAGATGGGTACAGGTCCTCAGAGGTCAGAGATCTTAATTCTACAATGACAGTAAAATGGGCATAGCTTCCAGCTAAGCGGTCTCCTCTCCCAATCAGGCCTAAAGCACTTCTCTAATATTAATAAAGCAGTTTAATCTTTCCAATTAAAGCAAATATCTGCATTGATGACAACACGTGCCTCTATTTCAGATCTACCTTTTGGTTTTGCTCCATGTCTACTGGATAGGGAGGTGGCAAAAGCAATATGCCATAAACAAGAGACACTAAGGTATCTAATAGGCCCACTATCCACTCCTACTGTACTTTCATTCTTGGGACTACGGGACATCTATGAAGGACCACCACTTACCAACAAGGTTATTAAATCCCCGCAGATGGGGGCAACATGGCCTTCTGTCCACAGAACTCTGCCCAACAAGTAGGTCGAATTTTGGAGTAGTTTTATAGAAGAGGTCACTAAAAATCCAGTCAAGAAAACTGGGTATAGATATTATTGGTATATGCTTTAATGAAATATCTATCTTAAAATATTGGTGAGGCTATGCAACTCATGGAGCTTTGATTGTCTGATGCAAGTTTTTTCTCTTAATGAAAACCAAACCAACTAAACAAAATCCCAACCCAATTTGGCTTGATGGGGGAAAATGTCAATATTTTTTTAAAGTACATCATATAACATTCCTTGGTTTATATGTCTGTTTAATGTATATGAAGTGCTATCTCGAGTGAATGTGTATATACTGGAAAACTACGGGATAAAGTGCATAGGCTATTCTTTCCTGGATTTAATGAAACAAAAGTCAAACATGCTATAAAATGTCTGCAACAAGGACACTATTGATAAAAATTTGTTGTAGTCCCCAGAACTGAGAACATGGGGAAAAAGGTTAATTTTGCACTGACCCATTCATGACCTCAGGAAGGGTTTAAACTGATTCTGAACCCTTTCTGCAGGGACCAAAAGGGTAGCCAAAGGGGAAGGAAAATGTATGAAATAGAGAAAGACTTCAAGATTTCTGATTTTTAAAATCAAGCCAATTCAAAAACCTTTAATATGCACAGAACAAAATCAACAATTTGTTTTTTGTTGGAAAAACATCATCTGTTTAAGCCTTATTTCTGTCATTAAGCCATTGATAAAGCTTGACAATGGAATAAGGAAACATTAAATAAACTCCTACTTTTTTAAAAGCTGTCAACTCTATTGAAGTCAAAGACAATCTCAGATGCTATAAACCTTTCCAAATCACTTCATAAAGGACCTTAGGCACGCCCCACCCCTCTATTCTAAGAATGGGTAAAGCAGCAAAAGATGTAAGAGACAGCTTTTCTTGCCATCAGTCTCTCAAAGTGATATTAAAGCTGATGTGCCCTGATCCCTGTGAGGGTTGGACAATTCCCATTTTCAACTTGAGTTTTCAGGTGAAGCAGCAGTTATCAGAATTTCTATAGGATACTGACTTCTGCAATTTGAGATCACTGTTTTACCTCACTTACACTGGAGTCAGTTGGGCTCTTCTTCACTACACATAAACCAATCACTTCCTAAGAGTATGCTTCACGTAGAACCAAATACTTATATATCCAGTGTCAGAATTAGATTCTTTTCATTATTTCTTCACATCCAATATACTCATAATCCAGGTTACAATAACAAAGACAAAAAAATTACTAGAGATTGAATAGTTAGTAACAACCATTTTCCCTCTTCTTCCCCAGTTTGAATACCTGGGTTCCAACAACAAATGTTTATCAATCCAAACAGTCTCATCAGCCTTTCATATTTGATGGGTAGTTTCCAATTCATGCATTTACAGATATGTTTTCCCATGCAGGATAAAAGTAAGAGATCTAGCAACTATTTTAATATGATTAGGAGAAGCAGTAAAAGTACATTGCTCTTGCCTAAAAATTTACATGAAAAGACTGAGTTATCTGGGTTGACAGCCTAGCTAAGCCAAATTAAATAGATCACTGACAAAACTTCCACTTTACAGAGGTTTAAAGACTGAGTAAGTCTTTGACATTCAGTAGAAAACAATAATTATATATTATTTAAAGCTAGATAAAATCAAAATGGCACTAGATAAGCAAATTTTGGCATATGGTGATAGAGGGCACAGTGCCGATCTAAATCTGAAGCTTTTGTTTTGTTTTGTTTTATTTTATTTTATTTTTTTTATTTTATTTTATTTTATTATAATCACCATGCCAAAGTTAGAATTCCAATTATTCAGGAAACTAACCTACCGTACATAATATACATACAAAAGTAAAACAAGCATCCTAAAGGTACTGGATTATAAGGTCTTTACAAATCATAAATTCTTTAAATAAATAATGCTATACATTGTCATTTGCTAGAAAGTTGATTTTTGCTAAGGAGCAACATTTAACATCTCAAGAAAGTAATGAAGAATGAGAGAGAAATTCCACTGATAATTACAATTTCAAGTGTGATAATCAGTTATATATTTTCATCACAGTAAAGTACACAAGTGTAAGAGTAAAGGTGACATGGATTCTATCCCACTGCTCACAGCTTTTGACAGTCAGACATCTATGACAAGTAGTTGGTTTGAAACAGGTAAAGGAAAGATCTTGGCAGAAAAGGTCACCCGCTATTACGTGGATCTTGGGGTCACAACACAGTGACTGGACGAAGTTGTTCCAATTGGTTTTCCAATGCAATTCGTTCTTGATGAACCTCCTGAGTTATATAAAGCAGAGAAAAGAGGAAAAAAGCAAATGGGTCATTTCCTGAGTTCATCCTTAGTTCATGAGATATTAAAAAAGAATATAACTGGACCCATAAAGACTTAAGTACCGTATAACTCAAGGAAGTGTGGACTGGAAGGTATCATGTTTATAGCTGGTGATTAGTCAAAGGAAGCTTCAGAGTTTGAAATCTCTTAACTTTTTTCTGAGGATGATGAAATGGAACTGACTGACACACACAGACACCTGCCACAGCCTCAATCTCACCTTCAGTTTTAACAGGATCAGTGACTGGCAGAGAATAATGTTAAACATTACAAGATTGATTAGGAAGTGAGTAGAAAAGCAAAAGTAGCCGAAACTGGTTTGACTCAGTGGATAGAGCCTCGGTCTGTGGTCCCAGGTTCGATTCCCATCAGGGGCATGTACCCTGGTTGCGGGCACATCCCCAGTGGGGTGTGCGCAGGAGGCAGCTGATCGATGATTCTCTCTCATCAATGTTTCTAACTCTATCCCTCTCTCTTCCGCTCTGTTAAAAATCAATAAAATATATTTAGAAAAAGAAAAAAGAAAGAAAAGCAAAAGTAGACTCCTAATACTGAGAGGTGAAGCCATCATGGACTCAACTTCTATTCAGTCTCTTGTTTCTAATACAACACCATACTCAGTCAGATTAGAGGGATGAAAAAGTGCACTTGGATGGCCCTCTATCAAAGTCTCTTCTAGGCTGCTGGGCAAAATATGGCTTGAGGCATGACTTCTGGGTGAAAGGCAGAAAAGAAGATCAGCAAAATGCTATTTGGGAATTCATTTTTTTCATCCCTAAAACAATTTTTTTGGCAGGAAGAGAGGGAGACACATAAAGGCATTCTTAGCATTTATTCACCCACCCTCCTACCCACCCATCTAACAATCTGGGATTTATCTACTACTGGCCAGATTCTGCTCTAGGTGCCATCATACCAGCAAAGAACAAGACAGATCATACAATGAAATATTATTTAGCCACAAATAAGAACGAAATCCTGCCATTTGTGACAACATGGATAAACCATGCAGCTATATGCTAAGTGAAATAAATTAGACAGAGAGAGACAAATACTGTATGGTCTCATTTATATGTAGACTCTAAAAAAGGCAAATTCATAGAAACAGTAAAATGGTGGTTGCCAGGGCCTAAGGGATGGGATAAATGGGGATTTCAGTTCCCTCCTACCATCTTTATTTATTATTATTATTGTTTGTGTATGTGATAAGAATACTTAACATAAATCCTACCCTCTTAGCAAATTTTTAATAAACATATTACAATAAAGCCTTTAGGAAAAAAATATAAGAGAGTATCTTCATAATTTAGATACAGGCAAAGTTTCCTTGTGTACAAAGAAAGTAATAATTATAAGAGAAAAATGATAAATTATACTTTATCAACATTTCAAAATATTGTTCATGAAAAGACATGGTTAAGAAAATGAACAGGTAAAACAAAGGCTGGGGGAAAAAGCATTCATAAAACAAAGCACTAAAAACTCAATTTTTAAAAGGGCCAAAATTTTGAAAGGGCACTTCATAAATATATGAGAAGTAAATAATCACATAGAAAAGTGATCAACATAAGCATCAAGAAGATGCGAAATTGAAATGACATCACCAGAGGACTGGCTAAAACTAAGAGTAACACACTAAATGTTGATGAGGATGTAGAACAATTGGAACTCTGCTATATTAATGAGGGTTAATACAAAATGCTCTAGCCACTTGGGAAAAACTAGAAGTTCTAATAAAACTAATCACATATAGTCACCACCTAACCTACAAACCCTAATCCTAAATAGTTACCCAAGAGAAGTGAGAATGTATTTGCACACCAAGACTTATTCAAAATGCCATTTTATACAAAATAGCTCAAAATTGGAAAAAGTTCAGGTGTCCATTATATGAGAATTGATAACCAAATTGTGGCATATTCACTCAATAGAATGCTACTCGTCAATAAAAAGCAGATTATTGACACATAAAGCAGTATAAATGAACCTCAAAACCAATATTAAGTGAAAGAAGTTTCACAGAAAAGTATATGTTAAGAGTGGGGTCGGAATTGATGGGGAAAGAGCAAAAGGAAGCTTCCCGGGATGATGGGAGTGTTCTGAATCTTAATAGGGGTTTGGGCTCTATAAGTGTATGCATTTGTTAAAATTTTAACAAATGTACCCTCGAGATTTGTGTTTTCAATGTATATAAAATTTACATCATAAGAAATGACTGTAAAAATATTAAACTCTAGTTAATGCTATGCATGCTGGAATATTTAGAACACATTTACAGATCTCTTCAATTTACTTGAAAATATGTTAAAATAAGCCAAAACCAGTTTGGCTCAGTGGATAGAGCGTCGGCCTGCGGACTGAAAGGTCCTAGGTTCGATTCCGGTCAAGGGCATGTACCTTGGTTGCAGGCACATCCCTGGTGAGGGGTGTGCAGGAGGCAACTGGTCGATGTTTCTCTCTCATCGATGTTTCTAACTGTCTATCCCTCTCCCTTTCTCTCTGTCAAAAAATCAATAAAATATATTTTTTAAAAGAAAATACGTTAAAATAAGATGGACTATAGATAGAGGAATAGATAAAGGAATGGATAAGTGATAAAACAAGTATAGGAAAATGTTAATGGCAGAACCAAAGTGGTGGCTATAAAAGAATTTACTGCATAATTCTTTCAACTTCCTTGGATGCTTGAGAATGTACTTAATAAAATATCAAGGCCAGGGGGTTAAGAAAAGAGAAATTAAAAAAGAAATAGACAACAGAGAATGCTAAAGAGGAAGCACCAGTGAAGTAGAAAAAAAAAATATGCCAGGTTTTGTTTTCCAAAAGCCAGTTAGAAAAGTGTCTTCAGAGGCGGGAGCGGCCAATTGTGTAGAATTCTTTGGAAAAGTCAAATAATATTAAAACAGGCCCGTTGGATTTGGCCATAAGAGGAGTGGAGTGGAGGAGAAGGAAACCACACTGAAGTGAAGGGAAAGAAATCTGTTGGTGAGGAAGCAGAGATAGTAAGTGGAAAGAACTCCTAAGAAACGTGTCTGTGAAGGAGGCCAGAGAGACCAGTAGCAGCAGAAGAGGGATGAGGGAGCATGTTCATGTATGGATGGGAATGAGCCAATAGAGAATATATGTTTACTACTAAGTTCTAACCCTCAGTACCTATAAGTATGGTCTTATTGGATAAAGGATCTTTACTTATTTAATTTCTGTAAATGAGGTTATGTTAGAGTAGCCTGGGCCCTAATCCAGTTAATAGTGTCCTTATATTTAGAGGACACTATAAAAGAAGTTTGGACAGAGACAGACAGAGAGAAGGTCTTGTGAGAGTGGAGGCAGAAATCGGAGTGATATGTCTGCAAGCCAAGCACTGCCAGCCCCCAGCAGAAACTGGGAAGAAGATGGCAGGGTTCTTCCCTAGAGCCTCCCGAGAGCGAGCTTGGCTGTGATGACACCTTGATTTCAGTCTTTTAATCTACAGAACTATGAGACTAGATTTCTGTTCTTTTACACCACCCACTTTGTAGTACTTGGATGTGGCAGCACTGCAAAACTAAAACAGGGGAGATTAATAATGAAGGGACACAGATGATAAGAACAGTGGTAATATCCTTGACAAGGTGATATGGAGCCATTTCCAAGGTACCGGGAGAGGGGCTGGCCTTTGATAGTATTAGGACCACCTTCCTCCATTGAAATAAGTATAGCATCATTCAGGGTAGATCTAAACAAGTAAGCTTTTACCCAGAACCTTCAGACTATAATGAATGCTTCAAATCGCCCTTGTAATAGATTCTCTGTCCTTTTAACTAACACAATATGCAGCCTACATATTAAAGTTACTAGTCTTCCTCTAAGCATTCAAGAACCAACCCAAGAAACTAAAATACAGCAATGCTCTGCCTTCCAAAAGGAGTTTGAGAACAAAGAAGCAAGTCTTAGCAACAGGAATGATGGTAACTGAACCAGATGCTCAGTTAATGGTCAAAACAAAATAAAACAACTAGGTGAAAGCCTGGTAATACAAAATCAGAAAGCCCCTTCCTTACCTTGAGTTGCTGCTGGAGTTCACTGTTCAGCCGGGCCAGCACTGCATTTGCCTCTTTATTTTTGCGGATAGCAGTTTGAATAGCCTTCTTCTGTTTGGAAGACTGTCTACAAAAAGTACAAACAGTTCAATGAAATAAAACTTAGAGGTCTGGACCCTTGTCAAGACTGTCTGATTCATGAGAAGTGCTAAATTAACAAGGGGCTCCAAAAATAAAATCGTATGTACACAAGCAGGCAGGCAGACACACCCCAAATAAAACAAATTTGTCAGGATGAATTATTGACACCTGAAGTAATTTCTATTTTATAACTTGAAGAAAGGCTGTGAATCTGAAAAGGCCTTTATAAACATTCTGCATTCCATTTATTCCAGGATATTTTAATAAGTATTTCTTCTTGACAAACCATATTAACTGCAATGCCCTTTTTGTGTAAGCATTAATGGCATTAAAAAAAACCTGCAGGTGGCCCCCGTGAACTAGTCTGAAGGTAAAAATAGAACATTCTCTTTAGCAAAGATTCTATATTAATTTAACCAATCCCCATAACTCTCCTTTATGCCTTTATTATGAGACATGAATGCCTGAGTGTGAGTGAGCATGTGCATGTGCATACACCAGCATGTATATCTGTAGCACTTGAGAAATACACAGAAATGTTTCAATACTTGTACTTCCAAATTAAGTCAATAGTAAACTCATTCAATAGGTACAAATAAGTTGACTATATATCTCACTTTGTCCATTACAGTCTCTGATTACACTGCTTGTCCGGCCCTAATTATTCTTAGCACCCCATTCCTCCCTCAAAACTGTCCACAGTTGGGATAATAAATCAACATGACTGTATAACCTATAACTTTATATTCCACAGCAAGAAATACTGAATATCAGAGCAAAATGGCAATTTAAGTTCCCCTGAACAATATTTGTAATCATTGGGAGATGGGTTATAGGCCAGAGAAACTCAACTGATCTGCATTGTGACCACTGTAGGGATATGATTAATATTCACTGAGAATATCCTCTAAGCCAGCCACTCTGCTAATCTGTATAAGACATACATACTCCTTTCCCCAACAAATATGATGATTAATTTTTCATCCATATATATGCAGAGAAGGGGCTTCAAAAATCTACTTTTTAAAATACATAGATTGGACTTCTGGTTTCAGGACAAGATGGAAAAGATATACTTCTTTCTATTCCTTCTAGTAAGTCCATACAGTTAAAACCTTGGATATAATGTATAAAAGAAACATAAGGTGAATCCAAAAAGTGGGATGGAGAAGGCTAGGGAGTTCAATACTCATGGAATTGCAGTAAATTGCTGTTGTTAATTTGTGTGTCTTGGGAGTTTGTGTTTGTTTGTTTTTTGTTTTTGTTGTTTTTATTGTTTTTGCTTCATAGATCCCAGACTGGATAGTGGAGAAGGTGGCAATTCAAAAATGAACAAAATAAATTGAACAAAATAGATGCAGAGACATAGAAGCATGTAACAGACTAGAATCTCAGAGGGAAGGCAGGGGAGGAGGGTGGGTGGGAAGAGATCAACCAAAGACCTGTGTGCATATGTGCATAACCCATAGGCACAAACAATAGGTGTTGAGGGCCTGGGGCAGGGGACAGGGGAGGGCTAGAAGTCAATGTGGGGGGAAAGAGGACATATATAATACTTTCAACAATAAAGATATTTTTTTAAACTACAAGCTGTCATACTTAATGAAAAACTGAATGTTTTCCCTCTAAAGATTAGGACCAAGACAAGATTTCTACTTTCATTGCCATTTTCATGATAATATTAGAAATCCTAGCCAGCACAATAATATGAGGAATGGTATTAAGGTACACATCTGGAAAAGAAATAAAATGGTCTCTATTTGCAGATGACATGATGGCCTATGTAGAAAATCCCGAGTAATCTACAAAATCCGCTGGAACTAATAAGTGATTTCAGTATGGATAAAAAGGAATTTGCAGGATGAATTAACATACAAAAATCAAAATAATTTCAACATACTAATAGTGAACACTTGCAAATCAAAATAAAAAATATGGTATGATGGGTGAGAAAGAAGCAATCACACGAAAATAAGTAAGAGAAGAGATCAGCAAGAAGAGATCTCCAGAGAAGAGGTAAAAAGAGATCACACGAGAAGTGTTGGGGGAGAAGAGATCACGCAAGAAGAGAAGAGGGCACAAGAAGAGTTCATGAGCAGGATCAAGTATCACGTGAAATGAGGAGGGTACAGGAGAGAGAAAGAGATCACGTGAGATAAGAGGAGTGCGAGAGAAGAAAAGGCATTACAGGATAATGAGTGAAAAGAGATAACTCAGAGAAAACAGGAGAAGAGCTCAAGAGAAAAGAGCATGAGCGAAGTGATCACAGGAGATGAAAGGAGTGCCTTTCTTAACCAGTGTTCTGATAGAGAATTAAGAAAATAATTTGTGACTCTTTGCTCATTTTTCCAAAAGAGAATACAGAGTAAAGACCACTCTAGATGAAAAGAAGAGAGATTTACTTACTATAAACAATGGATGCCTAAGAGCATCAGAGCTTAATTCTTTCCCAGAACACTGGCTGAGACAGGATCATGTAGACTATCATGTGTATAGCGGTCTCTCTTCCTCAGGGCTTTAAAATTATTAATGCTAAGTCACTTATTACCACTTCAAAATAAACTGGTCTAAATAAACAAACAAACAAACAAACAAACAAACTGGTCTGGGAACTAAAGTCAGTTGTATGAAGTTCCCAGACCCCAAAGCTTAAATCCCTGCCATTTATTGTACTATTTGTGTCACTGGTGGGTGCTAGTCTCTCAGCCTGACACCATGTGTTTACCTAACCAGTGAGAAAGGACCATAGTGAGGAACAGTCACTGAACAGGCAGATAAAATAGCTCCTTTCAGCAAGTGGTGCTGAGCCAACTGGACATCCATATCCAAAGAATGAAGTGGGGCCCCTTCCTCATACTGTACACAACAATGAACTCAAAATTGACCATAGGCTTCAATCTACCCACAAAATCTGTTGCTTTTCTTAGTTACAAAAATAGTCATGGGGATGTAAGATGCGACATAGGAAATACAGTCAATAATATATACAATAAAAACCCAGTGGTCATGTTGCCATAATGACCAAAGACCGGTCACCAGGAGGTTGAATGCCCAGCGAGGTGCACGTGGGTGGGCGGGGCTAGGAGCACAGCAAGGTGTGTGGATGGTCGGGCCATGCAATTTCTCACGCTGGGCTTTTAGTATTGTAATAACTACATATGGTACCAGGTGGGTACTGGAAATATCAGGGGAACACTTTGTAAAGTATATGGTTGGCTAACCACTATGTTGTATACCTGAAACTAATACAAAATAATATTAAAAGTAAACTCTAATTGAAAAAAAAAAATTAAAAGGGAAAAAACAACACCTGTTGTTTTTCTCTCCATAACAGTGTAAGGAGGAGAAAAATCCACAGCTGCAGCTGAGACCTGCAAGGTCCCTAGAGCAATTTCATTATGGATCTTGAGCATTTATGTTAGTGACCAGTCAGGCTCACTTAAAGTCACACACAGCAGCAGGTTTCTGCCCTCAACACCTTGTCAATTTCACAAAAGGGAAACTGAGGCAAGTGATAGCTTTTCTTAAAGCCAAAGCCTTCTGGAAAAGGACAGTATGTCCAGAGCATTGTTCTCTAACCCCACCCTCCTTCCAAAGTCTGTTACAGCTGGCTAGATAGATATCTTGGATGCTCTACAGGTCATCAATCTATGCTTAGATGATCAATAACATAAACTCCTTATGAGGATTAAAAAGATAGCCCAGCCCGGGTGACTCAGTGGTTGAGCGTCGACCTATGAATTAAGAGGTCACATTAGATTCCCGGTCAGGGCACATGCCCAGGTTGTGGGCTTGATCACCAGTGTGGGGCGTGCAGGACGCAGCTGATCAAGGATTCTCTCTTATATTTGCTGTTTCTATCTCTCCCTCTCCCTTCTTCTCTGAAATCAATAAAAGTATATTTTAAAAAAAGATCATGTGGGTGTCATGTACAGATAGGGAAAAGAGTCAATAACATTGCAATAACTATGTAGTGACAGATTGTTAATAGACATATTGTGATCAATTCGTAAGAAATATAAAGATTGAATCACTGTGTTGAAAACCTGAAATATAATACTGTATGTCAATTATAATTATAATAAATTATTTTTTATAATTTTTAAAAAGATATCACATCTACTGAAAGTTGGACCTGAGGGTCATGAAGCTATTTGCCATGGGGAAGCATGAAATAAGACAGGCAAAGAGAAAACTTCCATTTATATTACTGTCTTCTTCCTGAGAAAATGTGGGCCAGTAGAAGGAAGAGAGGTCAGAAGAAGTGGAAGGGGAAAAAAACGTACCATGGTCTTGTCCTCACTTGCCCTTTGTGTCAGGATATGTCCTATAGCTTAGAAGTCTCTTTCTATGTGACTGGAAAATGGTAATCCCATCACAGAAATAAGTAAGGTAAGACTACATCCATAAAATCACACCCTTTTATGGTATGAGTATAAATGTAAACATCTACATTTACATATACATGAAAATTTAAAAGGAAGCCTCCGTCCTGCTCTCACTTATCTGTTTTACTTACTTCTGGACTGTTGAATGGGGTTTTATGGTTGCTACAGACACTGACCCGCCAACGGTGGTAGAAGGTTCTTGATTTTCTGTAGCTTGATTTTCCGGTCGTAATTTCCTACGGATGGGCTTTGATGGAGGCTGAGAATATGGTGTGTCCTGCAGATTAAGAACAAAATTTTTTTTAAAGGTTTAAAAAATTAATTGCTCCCCTACCATGCCAATGTCCTATGTCCCTCTAAGTCAACCCAAGATCAGGCATGTGTTCTAGTGAAACTCTGCATCCAACAATATGTGACTGATTCTCAGCTAGGTAAAAGTTAGAGGGACATGGGCATCAGATTTCAGAGGACTTTGTTTCATTCCTCCTTTTTTTATGCTTGCAGCCTATTATCTTTTTTGTCACCCAGAAGGACACAAGAATCAGATTTCAGGGGTCCACCAACTCTCTTTTCTTTCCTATTTTAAATTCCGTGTGCATCTCACAGCACAGAGCCTTTTCTACTGAAGAAAACTCACTCTTGCCCCACTTTGGGGCTTTTTGGAATATAGTTTTGAAGTTTGTAATGTTCTTAGTCATAAGTTCAGAATTCTCCTACCCCCAATTGCTACATGAAATCAAGCTCAAGAGCCATGGTGTCTTCTGGAAGGAGACAGTTGCCCTGATTCCTTGAAGGCCCGTGCTTTACCTGTGTTCCTGAGCCCAGAGCCCACTCTCTCTCATGAGAGAAGGACCTGAGAAAGTGGGTAATGACAAGAAGAGGGTTGAGAAAATGAAAGGACAACACCATGAGTGAGTGGTGTTTACTGAGCAAATGACGCAGGACTCAGGCTGAGGTGAAGATGCTGAGATGCAGAAGAGACCACAGCACAAAGACAAGGATGGGAAGTCTACCACGCCCCCAAAAGGTACTTCTAGGGGTTTAGCAGTATTTGGGATTCTGCAAAAGGCACCTCACCTCTTAGTCTTACTGACAGCAAAGCCGCCATATTTAGCTGGGAGGTTGAAGAGGAAAGTACAAACTGTGAGTGACATCAAGATCCAGCCCAGGAGTCATCTGGACCCCATCTTCACAAAGAACCCAAATTCTAGGAAATCTGGGTTGGTAGATGCGCTTACAGAGACAAAAAGCCCAATGGAGGGCTCACAACGCCACCCCAGTGACACCCCTTTTCTGGCCTTACCTTCTTTGTTGGACTACTCTCTGCAGCTTGCGAGGGGGCTCTGTTCAGCTGGGGGTGTAGCTCAGCCTCAGATGCTTGTTCAGACTACAGCAAAAGATGAGAGAGAAGATAAAAATGTCAAACCATAACCACCCAAATATATAACTTAAGAAAACAGTCGCTATGAGGAAATTGATTTAGACCAAGTTGTAACCAAGCATAGGCAAGTCTGCTTATCCTTGAGAAAACCTTCCAAAGACCCTACTCTGGCCTCCCACCCTTCCTTCTAGCATTGTTGAATCTTAGGGAAAGGAATCAAAAGGACGTCTTCTATAAGTGGACATATATATTCAAAAAAACTAACACTTCACAAGTTCAAACTGAAAATAACAAAGCTTACTGGAAAAAAATAGGGCTGGGAAAGAAGTTAAAATTTTATCCCAGGCACTAACAAAAATAATAATCATAATTAAAAACACTGGAATTTTAAAGCATATATTAAATTCCTAATAAAGAAACATTCCAGTAGCTATGACTTCTTACCTTAAATAAGGTAAGGGAAGGTAAGCATGATGGAAGGAGTAAACAGGGCTTTTGGCTGCTAAGTGATACAAAATTGGTGAATGGATGCACAAAGAAAGGCAAAGACTGCCCACAACCCTTCTAGACAGAGCGGCCACCAAAGAGCCAAGCAGAAGACCCAGGGAGACTGTGTACCATGTCCCCTCATTCCCCCAGCCCCAGGCTGCTACATTCAGCTGTGCTAGAGCACTTTGTTTTCAGCTGCTACTGGCCAGGGATGCAAAAGAGTAACTTTGGGGGTAGGAGGAGCTTCATGCAAACCAAAGTAACAGCCACATTATACTGACATCAGTCATCTATTTACCCACAAACTAATCTGTGTTACTCAAGTAGACATTGCAGCATAAGAGCCAGCCTTAGTGTCGCACCTTCATCCCTAACCTAGCCTCTTCTGAATGTGGCTTTCTTCCCGACTCTGCTGAAATGGCTTGTATCCCAGGACACTACTGCTCTCCCATTTGGCTGATTCTAGTGGCCTCTTGTAGTATTCTCTAGATCAGTCCCTGGCATCTGATGAACCGTGATCTACTAAAATCATTCTTTCTTTCCTGTTGACTTCTCTTATTATCCCCCAGACGTAAGATTTCTCAAGCTTCTGTCATCAGTTACCTGCCTGATTTTTCCCTCCCTCTTCATTCTTCCCAGAGTAATCCCATCTGCTCCTACACTTTCACCACCCTATCTAGAAACCTTGGTTCAAAAACAACTCCCACCTGTTCCAAGCCCATTTTATAAGGACTCAACATGCCCAATTTTTAGTTCCAACTTTTTCTTATAGTTGTCTCCTTTCCATTAAGCCTAACTGTATTATTATGACTTATAATTATTAGATATTATTAGATACTGCAAAACACAGAACACTCACTATGAGTTACACATTATTCTAGGTGCTTTGCATGGATTATGTCATTTCATCATAGTTAATACCCCCATATTATTATTGAAAAAATTGAGGATTGAGAAGGAACTCACTCAAAATCAAACAAATAGAAGGGTCTGAACCCAGGCCTCAGGTCCTAATGCTAGGCTTGTTATAACCACTATGCTTTATATTTCCTGTGCCAAGAAATATCTATTGAACAGCTACTACAGGCAGACCCTACGCTGGCTCTGTTATTAAAGGATAAAGAAGCCCCAGAGGAGTTTGCTTACAAGGAGTTTGAAGTCTAGTGGGAAAGGCAGAGAAATGATGGGGCAAACATGCTTCAGTGGAATCAGGATGGCAGAAGGCAAGTGTGAGAGCTCCAGAAGCACTCAGCCTTCTGGGTCAGCAAAGATTTGGGTGAAGGTGATATCCCAGCTGAGATCTGAGTGATAAACAAGCCAACCAGAGGGGCACTACATTGGGATGATGAGAAAGGAGGCTCAAAGCGCCTCCTATGCTCCAATACCCAGAATATCAGCCTGGAGTACCACAAGAACACTGAGGCCAATCACCAAGAAGGAAACCACAGGAAAAGCAGGTGTGAGAGGGAGCTCACTTTGAGGCCTACTGAGTTTGAATCATATGGAAAACATCCAAGCAAGCCTTGTAGGAGCCTTCACTGTCAGGAGTCTGGGGGATGCAGGCCCTCACCCACCTTCCTGTCATCTTACTTGAAGATCTGCCAGCCTCCTGTCAGTTTTATTAATGGCTGAATGATGGCCCAATAAACCCCCAAATGAAGGGCTTCCCATGAATTCTACTAAAGAATTACAAATTGGGCCCAAGGTCCTTTGTTGCCTTCTACCTGAAATCTATTGCTTGGAACACATATGTTCTGGCCCCAAACCTATGTGCGCAGTCCCCTACAGGGACTTCAGGTGCACTGCACATTCCACCAGCCAAGCAGAGAGAAAAGGAAAGACAGAGCAGTCAGTCAATTACTCTGCCTTTCAATTGGTCAGCTCCCTTTTACCGCCAGACAGACAGAGAGAAGCATTTTCCCTAAGGCTCTCTTTCTTATAGGGATGAATGAAGTCTCCTTCTTGTGAAAATATTAAAAGAATGATAAATTAGCCAAAACCGGTTTGACTCTGGTAGAGCATCGGTCTGCGGACTGAAAGGTCCCGGGTTCGATTCCGGTCAGGGGCATGTACATTGGTTGCGGGCACATCCCCAGTAGGGGGTGTGCAGGAGGCGGCTAGTTGATGTTTCTCTCTCATCAACGTTTCTAGCTCTCTATCTCTCTCCCTTCCTCTCTGTAAAAAAATAAAATATATTTTTTTAAAAGAAATGATAAATTGGATCCTCTTTTTTTAATGATGTTTCTGAGTATAACAGTAGTAGCTGTGCTTGTCATTGCCTTCATTTTCTCTTAACTACCTCTAAAAACACAATTAACAATGGGTTGGGGATTGGAACGGATAAGAAAGCAGTTGTGGGATGTGTCTGAATTTCTTCTATCTCATTTACATATATATCTTCCTGAAATGGCATACAGAGGCCTGGGTTTTCTAGCATATGACTAGTAACCAACATCTCCTCAGCATTATGTCAGGCTGGATGGAAGCATCAATCTCCGTACAAAGAAACTCAAGACCTCCGCACCCTTTTCTACTGGTCCATGAATGATTCTAAATGGGTGCATCTGTTGAACATACAAAGGAGTGAATCTCATGAGGAAACAGGAAGAGCCTGGAAAAGCAGAGCCTCACCAGAGCCAGAAATTATCTGAGGGAAAGAGATGGGGAAAGAAAACTAGCCTTGTATGGGGGGAGACTAAAGATTAGATTTAGACATGCAAAAGCCTTTCTTCCCAATAAAATATATATTTCACTTTCTTTCATGAAACGTAATATGAGGTTTACGTTAGACTTAGCAGCTGGAAAGCAGAACAAACCAGGGAAATTTCTTAGCTTTTCTTCATACTTTTCTAACTTAACAATTTTGGGAAAACGATAACCCATGAAAACAGGGGGTCTCAGTGGCTCCCTTTTTCTTTCAGTATTAAAGAAAGGGGGGAACAACTCTGCTATCATTATAGACAATATGCCCTTGTCCAAAAGTATAAGTTGTCTGAACTGAAATCCAATGCTTGAATCTCTTGAAGGAAACAAATGTTCAGATTAAAATTAATATTGCAAATGGTAGTGCTTCCCTCATGACTCCTATGTAACAGTATGCACCCAGCCAGGATGTGGCAACCCAGAAAAAAATGTCAAGAGCTCATTGAAATTTGAGCTAAGTTCCAATTTAAAAAAAAAAAAAAAAATATATATATATATATATATATATATATATATATTACGTTAATATTAATAGTCCCCTACCCACAAAGGAAAGATACATTTAATTTGTATTTTTGTAATAAAAAGCCTGAATAGGTCACATGGATGTTGAGGTGCTGCCTCAAGATGTGGAAACTTCTTCTGGGCTTTTCCCAGTCCTATGGTTGATGGGACAACATGGCTCCTGGTCAGCTGGCTCTCCAGAAATGGACATGGCCCAGGGAGGCTAAGCATTTTAATTCTCTTATCAGAAAAGGGGTTCATTCAGTTATTCAATTACATAGGTTTTTATTTCATACATCTGATGTGTCACTTTCCAAGAATCCTCATCTCAGGTTCTGGACCCCAGACAGACACCAGGCAAAGTGGTCCCCCCCAAAAAGGGGGAGCTAAAACACTTAGAAGAGAATCCTCCAGCCTTAGTCAAGCCTTCAGATGATTACAGCCTTGACCGACATTGTGCCTGCAGCATGAGAGAGTCTGAGCCAGAACCACTCAGATTAGTTGCTCCCAAATCTCCAACACAAAGAAACCATGAGCTTATAAATGTTAACTGTTTTAGGACTCTGAAAAAAAAATACTCTGTCTACAATTATGGGCCTAGTAGTGTGGAATAAGGATGAGTGGTAAAGAATGGGAGAACTGAAGCTGAACAGTGGGAGTGGAGTAGATCATACATGGTCTTACAGATCATTGCCCTGAATTGTCTATGAGCCACTCATCACCATTCCCTGCTTCTATGCTCTTCCCTACACTGCAGGGAGTAGAAGCCTGACAACCACATTTTTAGAATCTCCTTTAAACAGAGGTCCTTGTTACTACTGAGACTCATGCACATGAAACCAATAAGGTAGTCTGAGCATCTTCAGCTGTTTCCTTCAGTTCTTACAATATCTTAACTTTCAGAAAGTACCACAGTCCTTGAATTAAACCTCCTCCAGTGTGAAATACCTAGAATGGATTCTGTTTTCCTAACTAGACTTTAGCTGATACATCCCTATTCAGGATTTGAACTTATTCTGAGGGTCATGCAGGCAAATGGATTGGAAGCAATCCATACTAGAGGAAAGGGAACTCAATTAGAAGGCAAAAGAAGAAAACAAGATAAGAGATGATGGTCCTTTAAGCCAGTCTGATGGGAGTGGGATAGGCAGATTTGAGAGTGACTTAGATTGGAGACTGTATACATCCTTGGTGATTGGTGTAATGTGCTAAGTGAAAGAACAATGACATAAAAAATCAAGGTACTTAGACAATGGGTAAATGGTTTAGAGAGAAAATAATTTAAAGCAATAGGGAAGAAATGTGCCGGC